AATATTGTCGGTGAAAATGAAGGAGTATGTTAATTGATTGCTCATGAAGAAGATATAGATAATCCTTCTCTCTAGCTTGTGCGATCGGCTACCTCATTGTGAGGTCCTGTAATATACAATAATTTGAAAATTGTGACTTTATAGTTATGATCTTTGGTAATTTTATGAATTGATAAAATACTAACTATAACGTGAGGAACCTATAAAAATCTATTAAGGGTAAAATTGGGAAAAATAAAGATATTACCTTGCCTTATGGAATCATCTGCCACTTTATTTTCTATTACTGGGATGTGATTTGTAGGCTTGAAAATTATTGACAAGATTTGTCATGTGATTGGTGGCAACTAAATCAAGGATCCAAGTTTAAAAATATGTATTTGAGGCACTAAAGACGTAAAAGTTGGTGGCCATACCATTTTTAGCAAGAGAGTTTGTCCTTCTTTGTTTCCAATCATAAATCTGAGGCTTCTATGAAATCTTCGGGATTTCTCTTTGATCTGTCATTTCATTTGCAATAGTTACACTAAAGATTGGCCTTGAGGGGAGCCTTGTGTTCATCTTTGGGGGACGAACATGTAATAGAACATTCCTTATCTTGGTGGTCAATGGTTATCATGAAAAATATTTTAAAGATTAGATTGTCGAGCTTTGTGGTTCTTTTTGAGCTCGTACCAGAGAAAAAAAAACTTTATTGAGAGAGTGGGGATTCTCTACTTAAAATTTAGACTCGAACTTGATCAAAATCATTATTGAGTCGTACAACAAACTCAAATATTCTCTTTTTTCACAATTTGCTTGAAGATTATTGTATCTTCACAACACATCATATTAAGATCTATGTAATTCAAGCCAGTAAACCTTTATGACATTAAAATATTCAATGACATAAATGCTACACTGTCGTTAAGTTTTGTTTTTATTTCATAGATAAATGCAACATCTTTTACTTTTGGGTAAGTTTATTTGCATTTTTTTTTAGATAGGAGCAAATATGACACATTTATTCCACAACTATATCATGATCATGAAATTTATTTCTGCCAAAGTATAAACTTCTAGACTTTCGACTGCAGGATTGATCCACAAGACATATTTTTCTCTCCTTTATCTTTTCAGAAAGTCTTCACGATTTGGGACCACGTCATATAATTTTTTTTCATTCAAGTGATATGAGGTTTAAAATCTCTGGAGTCTCTTTTAGTTTGGTTTTTAATTCAAGTGATATGAGGTTTAAAATTTCTGGAGTCTCTTTTAGTTTGAATTTTACCATTCATGATAGTCAATTCCTTAGGATGGAAGTCAAAGAAATCAAACATAATGAGAAGAAGAACTCAAAATAGAAAGTTATTGGAGAAAGAGTAGAGAGAACAAATATTAAGCGCAAAAAAATTCTAATTTTGCATTGATATTATGTAAAAAAAAAGTGGCTAAGAAAATTTAGTTTGTTCATTCTTTCAATGAGTATTTACATATAAAATTACTAATAAAAAATAAATTATTACAATAACAAACATAAAAATAGTTTTTAGCTATCTGCCATTTGATTGTTTAAATACTATCGGTTGATGCCAATGATCAATCCATGGGCTCGTTCTTAGCTTTTTTTGTATATGAATCCTTGAAAATGGTTTCCTTATAAACGATGAATCCATAGTTTTTAGCTATCTGCCATTTGATTGTTTAAATATTATCGGTTGATGCCAATGATCATGCGGCTCTACAACATCTAATCTTCATTATCTATATCTTATTGATCTAGCGGCTCTTCAACATATTCTTCATGCATGATGAATTATTCTTGAAGTTTATGAAAATCTTTGGATTCTTATATTATTTTCTTTATTATGACCCCCTTCATCAAAATAATTGAGCTTCCCATCTTATAAAACTTGGCTTAAAATTTTCATTTTTTTCAAAGAGCATTGGGGTCAATGCATAATTTTGTATTTACACCTTTCTTTTAGTGAGATTTCACTTACAATTGATTGGCTAAATTCCAAAGAACAAAACAAACGCCCATGCTTATCCTACGTTACTAACCTATATCTATTATGAGCAGATATTTCCATGGAGACCTCACCAAGTTCCATATGGCGGATACACAAACTCTATCGCTCTCCGCTCCTTTGCTGAGGCGCAGAGCAGAGGCATGAAACATCTCTCCCAATCAACAACCACTGAGGTACTCAACTTCTATGTTGCCCAACTTCTTCTTTCTTATTTCTGCAAAATAAAAATATTTGAACCAACATACTCCATGGATTTATGCTTGCTTTTGCTTTTGCTTTACACACTGGAATAGAGCTTTGAATTTGGCTTGATGAATAGAACATGCAACTAAACCCGTCTAGTGGTTCTGCTCTCTTCAGCTGTATTTAAAAAAAAGGGACAGTTACATTCATACCAGACATTTCTTATATAGTTGACAGTTACATTCATACCAGACATTTCTAATACCTAAACCTTCATATTTACTTGCATACCCCTCAAATCTTTGAGATCATACTAAAAATACCACCACCACTACCTTCTTAGAAGTGAAATACACTTTTCATGAATAGATTTATGGTACAAAGGTGTTATAACTGTAAATATGAAACTTTGGGTGCTAAGAGTTGTACGGCATCCTCTTCAAGTTATAAATTGAATTTTGTATCTTGCACTCTAGATGATCATTGTTCATTTATTTCACATCTCACACCCCCCCCCCC